TACTATGTAGTCATAGTATTGCATTGTTTAGAAATAACGACAGAAAAAAAAAAACCCTACATATTTAGTACAGACAGAATTTATCACCCAAATAGTTTTCCATCCAAGGTCAGTTGAATAAACAGATGTGTAACTTGCAGATTTGGAAGGATAACTGTACTTAAAATTTACTATCCCAAACATTTCTAAACATTCACCTCTGGCAGCATGAATGATATCCAGCACCACTACCACTCAGCTCTGGAAGGCTTAATCATGCAAAGCTGAAACGCTGCACCCATTTATAACAACTCCCCATCCTCCTCTCCACTCTTCCATCTGCTACCAACTAGAGCAAAGCCCCTCACCTCAGAATGTGACACTTGGTCAAATTAATCTGCCTCTGTTGGAAAGCTTCCAGGCTAAAGCTAGAATGAAGCCTCAGTCTGCTCCTGTCCCTCCTCCAGCGTTCTGTCTTACCTGGAGACGCCCAGTTCCTGCTGGTCTCAGCCTGGCACTCACTGTTTCCTACCTGGAGGCCTCCCTTCGTTGCTCCTCTTCCATAGGCATCTGAGCTTCCATCCAGGTGCAATCCCCAGACACACGCCCTCCCCAGTCTGTTCCTGGGCTCCTCATATTGTTTGGGCCCCTGTTTAGGCTCTGCAGCCCAGATGGAACGTGAGCTCTTCTCGGGAAGCGTCACTGCCATATCTGTGTCTAGAACAGTGCTGGTACCCTCTAGTTACTTAGTAAATATTTGCTGACATGTTCCTGTGGCTTGTACTTGTCTGGGCAGGGGTGTGTGTGTGTGTGTGTGTGTGTGTGTGTAACCTTTGTGGGACTCTGGCCTGAAGCAGGACTCATAGCTGAGTTACAGAAGTTACCTTGTCTTTTCCAGAATCAAGTTTCAACTCCTGCTCCAGGGCTCACTGGCTAAATGACGTTAGAAATGATTCTTCTACTGGGGGCCTCAGCTGAAATTGAATGAGTCTTTTTTTTTTTTAATTTATATATTTGGTACAGCTCTCACCACGCAGCTTGGACTCGTACTGATCCTCCTGTTTTCAGCCTCCTCAGTGCTGGGATTACAGGCATATGCCACCACGCCCAGACTCTGGCTCAGCTTGCCCCTCAGGTGGAGTGTGTGTGTGTGTGTGTGTGTGTGTGTGTGTGTGTGTACAACTGCATGCAGGCACCAGACCTGCAGCTGTAATGGAGGTTTAGGTGGACATTGCTGGGGTGTACATGTACTCTACCCAATCGATTTCTGGGTCTGTTGATCTGCTCTCACTCCTAAAAATCCTGAGCCCTGGGATGGAGAAGACATTGTCCCAAGCCCAAGATGGCAGGTGAGTCTGGAGTTTGGCCCTTTGCATCTGGGTTGAATAATCTCTGCCGTGTGGCTACTACAGAATGGCTCAGAGAAAGGGCACCGAGACCCAGGGTAAGTCCATAAACATTACAAGAATGAGGAAGTGGGGTAGCCAGCCTCTCCTCTTCCTTGTCTCTCCTTCTGCTCAACCACCCCTCCTGACAGCCCATCTTCCCTCCCTAGTCCTTGAAGTCAGACTGTCTCTGAGCTGGCCAAGCCTGGCTAGCATGATCCTGTCCCTGAATCCCTCATGCCACTGACCTCCCATGTGACCCTGGCCACTCTGATCTAGCAGGTTCTCAGGGCCTGGGAAGCACTTTGTCCATGCACACTTACCTCCTAAGGCCCAACCACTCCCTGTCAATATTGACCCAGGTGAAGGCGTGGCTCCAGGTGGACCCCACCACGCCAGGCTCCACTTCTAGGTGTCTCAGCTCCAGCTCCCATATCACCCTAGTAACAGAGTTCCTCTTAGTCCCTCCCCAGCAGACACAGAACAGTCACTCCTGGAGTCCCAGGAACACAAGGGCCCCAGGGCCCACTACCTGGAGTCAACCTGGCCCTGAAGCAAGCAGGGCACCCAGGGACTCCCACATCTGGCCAAAGGCCAGGCAGTGTCTCACTCACTTGGGAAGGATACCAAGGACACTGTGGAAACTCTAGAGCTCTGAGACAGACCAAAGACCAGCATGCCAGAGGGCATCGCTGCCTTGCCCATCATAGTACGGGTGTGTGGTCCTCTCAGGATGCGGATTGGGTCACCTAGGAACAAAAATGGGCACTGCTCCTGGTGGGCACTGTACTGCAGGCTCCAGGTGCAGTGGGGCATCATTCTGCTCCCCACTTCTGGGTGAGCACAGGGTGCTGTCAGCCAGCTAGGGCTCTTATCAGGCACTTGCTTCCTCCTTGCCTTAGGAAAGATCCCCAGTGCCCACAGGAGGCTGTTTTTTCTCTGGAGTACACTAATTTTCAGTAATGAACACATGTAACATCTTTCAGGGGAAGCAGCACCTGTCATCCCTCCAAAGTTTGCACATTCCTTTGCTACCCATGGGCATCAGGACTGGAGCAGCTCTGAGGAGCTTGCCCCCTTCCTTGCAGCCAGGAAGAGCAGTTCTCAGCCTTGGCTGCATATTTGCATCATTTGGGAAGCCTGAGGCAGGTCCCCATGCTCAGATGTTTGAATTTAATTAATGGTGGTAATGGACTTGAGATGTTTTTGTTATTGAATTGAGGATTGAATCTCATTCCTCTGCACTGAGTTTCATCCCGTCTTTTACAAGATCTCAATTAAATTGCTCAGCCAGAACTTGAACTTGTGATCCTCCTGCCTCAGCCTCCTCAAATACTGGGATTACAGGGTGTACAGGATCTGTACCTTCAAAAGCCCCTCAGGCAGGGAGTGTGTGTGTGTGTGTGTGTGTGTGTGTGTACAAGTGCATGCAGGCACCAAAGCTGGAGCTGTAATGGAGGTTTAAGTGGACATCGCTGGGGTGCACATGTACTATACCTGATCGATTTCTGGGTGTTAATCTGCTCTCAGAGGTCAGCCTGGTGACTGTGTCAGCTGGCAGCTGGGCTCTGAGTAGCCTGCAGATTCACAGCTAGTGTTATCTCTGGCACAGCATAAGGGATTCACCACTCCATCACTCCCCATTACTTGGGACTCTTCCACAAGCCTGGTATATTCCTTACTCATGAGCTCAACAGACTGGCCATCAGACACTGTGCCATGGTTCCCAAGCTGCCTTCTTCCTGCCTCCTGGATTCCTATTTGTTGCCTAACAGACACTATGCTCAAACTAGAAAACATTGGGAGGGGAAATTTCAGTGGGCCCAAGTCCCTCACAGGTGCACTCCTGATGACGTTTCCTTCCCTCCTATCTGTGGACTCTTCCTAGAGCACTTCAGTCTTGGGGCTGCCATGGTTTACAGCCTTTTATTGCTTGTATGCTAAGGTGTGAAGCAGGTGGGGATGTGGCGGGATGCTAGAGAGGGCTAAGGAGCAGAATGAAGGAAACAGTGGGCAGAGAACATAGCCAAGGAATCAGACTCAGAGGAGGTCTCTGGTGGCTAGCTGCCCCACTGTTGAGTATATCTAGGGCACAGCACAGATGACTTACAGCTACGGACTGTGTCCTGGGTGGGTGGGAATGAAAATAGTTATTTCTTGATGTCTAAGGGGAATGTGACCTAGGATGCCCTGGATCCCAAAATCATGGATGCTCTAGTCCCTTAATTGTAGTTTTTGCATACCATCTCTTGCTTATAATGCCTAACATAAATACGATGCAAATAGTTGCTATACTGTGTTTAGGAAAGCATTATGAAAAAATCTGTACATGTTCAGACTGATGGATTTTTTTTTCCTCAGTATTTCTGACCTGTGGTCCATCTGACCTGCAAATGTAGACCCTTCAGATATGGAGGGCTGGCTATACATGCTGGCAAACCCAGTATTCCATAAGCAGGGACTGCACAGCTTTGTCTTAGAGTCCTTGGTTATCGCATCCACAGAATGAGGATAAGATCTACCCAATGAGATTGTTTTTTTTTTTTCTTTTTTTTTTCTGCTATCAAGGATTGAACTCAGGACCCTGCGCTTGCCAGGCAGGCACATGTGCCACTGAGCCATCTCCCGGCCCCCTGATGAGATTGTTGATACTGGTGTTCTGTCATCTGCATTAGGTATGAGTTCTGAGAATGGTGAAGCAAGTGTCTGCCAGGAATCTGAGCCCAGGAACCTTCAAGTTTCTCTTACTTGTATGAACAGTCTAAGGATGATGCTTATAGGATTTCTCACTGTGAGAAAACAATCTGCTACATCTAGTCTTATATTTCCTTGACTTGCTGCTTCTGGTAATCACAACATCTTAGCTACTGTGCTTAAAGGCTATGGGCTAAGGCATCATACACAATGCCTATGGCTGTTACGGAGTAGGGGATAAGTTTCTCTCATAGTGTATTTGAAAGCCTATTGGTAGAGCTGAAGTCATTAAGTGAGGATGGTGACCCAGACTGCTTTGTCTGGGGACAGGAAGCCAAGGGGCCAAATATTCATACCTTTCTGGTAACAGGCAACTTGGGCAGGATAATTTTTAGCTGCCCCTAGTCATAATTTGTGGCGCTTATAGTCCTGCAGCCCAATTCCCATGTACCCTGCTCTCCAGAACTGGGGACCCTAGGAAAGCCAGTGCTATCATGAGATTGTGCAGAGGACAGACAATGGAGGAAAGAGGCACTGCCACTGGAGAAGCAGTCCATCCACAAGACAGCAGTTTCATGTGTTTATTTTGGCAGGAAGGAAATCATTGCAAACCTTGATTGACAATACTCATCCCTGGAAACGTGCACATTCCACATGTAGTATTTCCCAAGTAGTGCTGAACTGTTGATCACATTCAAATGTCTAGCAGGCATCCATAACTACTAGATATCAACTATTGGGAAGGGGTGTCAGTCTGTAGAGAAGCTCCTGGGAGAATGAATCAGGAACAGAAATGATTAGATTTACAATAAAACAGGAAAAGAGGCAGCCAGCCAATTTTGCACAGGTCATTCCAAGTACATCAAGTCATCTGCTCTCCTTACACCATGGCATGCCAGCTGTCCACCACAGCACCTTTAAAAACAGAGGCACAAACATCACGAGTGTTTGACCATAGGGCTGCATGTTTCTGGATTTTATTAGAAAGCCATCTTTAGAATACAAGGTTGTAAAACACTTTCAAGTTATAGACTTACAGATTTCTTTTTTACACCCAACATTCAAATGCTGTCACCATGACAAGTCAGTGTCACCGGGGCATCCTCATGTCCTCAAAGACATCAAAACTGTACCATGTCAAAGGAGCTTCCCCACTAACCATCAACCATGACAGGTGGTGTTTCTTATTAGTATACAAATAACTGTTTATGAAAAACTAGTGTGTGAAACCATAGACCAACACATAGGATTCCACAGCAAATGGAAGACGGAGCATTACCATCATTAGGAATTCTCAGTTACCTCCAACTCAAAGCCTGGCTAGAGATGTGATAACATCATGTCAGATTGGAGCCCATGAGCCTAACTAAGGAATCCTGTCCCATGTCTTAATGTAAAGCACACTTGTCCAGAAGATTACATTTTAACCTCGTACAGAGAGGACCATGAAAACTTAGGCGGTCAGACTTTTCTTTTGGCTAAAGAGTTGGAGTATTTTGGTAATCTGGCAAATATATGGCACAGAGAGTAGCTAATAGGTTTCATTAGGTTTTAAAGCCCACAATTTAATAAAAGTTAAGAATCAAGAACAATACCCGTATTTACCTTTAAGAAACACAAACCCTAAACATATACCTCATTTCTTGGCCTTAATGTTAGAATTCTATTGCTTCATTTACATGTAGATGATTAAAAATATATAGATATAGATATTTTGATTATGTACACAAAGCAGAATCAAGGGTTAAAATAAAAATGGAATTTTGGAGTGTGGTCAAATAAGGTGCACAGATTGCAGAACCCTCAGAGGCTCTGGTGGTCCCCCAAGACATTCTGTGTCTGTGGTGGCAAGGACTGGGTTCCCTCCCCATCAGCTCCACAACAGATTAGTGCAACAGCAGCACAAGGGCACTCACAAAGGTGGGGACTAGTAGGTGAAGAGTCTGGCTCAAGTCTGCCCCATGTTTTCATTCCACCTGACACAAGTGGAACACTGTTCCTGGGCTAGCTTCCCCTGAAACATTCTAGAATTTCATCCTCTCTGCCCCTCTTCTGTGTTGGCCTTCTGTGATGTGCCAACACAGGAGGAACAGATGAAGGTCTAAGGCTCTCATCAGGGCCTAGTTCTGTGTAGACATCAACACATAACAGACACTTGACTGCAACATTCAAGACATTTAAGGCAGCGGGGTCATTTAATGACTGGTTTCCCAAATCAAGGTTTGTGGCATGTGCAATTTGCCATGTAATTGTCATCTGTGGTAATGCCTGGCCAGGGGAAATTTCTGTATTAATCAGCATGTGGATTTCTGGGTTTGGAATACTCAAAATGTTGGGAGACCTTGTTAACCCCCTAAATATTTTTCTTCTGAATGCGCAGGAGTCCACAGACCAAAGTGCTGTTGGGAGGATGGGATTGGCAGCTGGCTTCAGTATTTTGTGAATGAAAGTAATTAAAAAAAGGGAAAAGAAATTTTACTCTGACCTCCAGATCTGAGTCTTGGTAGTGCTCCCACCAGAACTCTGGCTGAAACCCAACCCACAGAAGACTAAGGCAATGGTGCCAACATAAAAGGGTTCTTTTTAATTATTTTGAAGAGCAATACTTTATGAACTGTGTTGTTGTCAAACAAGGAACATGGCACTGCTTAAACATCAAACTGGGAAAGGCTGCAAGGAGAGCCCAGGTTCAGAGGAGGAGCCCTTCTTCCTAGTCTGGAGTCTCTGATCTCGACAGGTTTACCCAGCCTTGGGCTCAAAACAGGCTGTGCTTCTAAGAAGAAGACCAGGGGATGAACATGGGCCATGTTGGCCTAGTGCCTGGTTGAGGTTACAGGTTCTCCAGAGAGAACAGCCAGCTTCTAACAGGATCCGAAGCCAAATGCAGGTTCCAATACACCACACCTGTGTGGTGCTCTGGCCCTTTGCCTTTGTACCCTTCTGCATTTCTGGCAGCAGTACCAGGGAAGGTAGACAGGCAGTACACTCTGCAAGGGGGTGGGACACCTGTTTCTGACCCTGTCCAAGTTTGTAGTTTAGCAGTGAGCATATTCTGAGCATAGGCACAGTGGCAAAGAACAGTGTTAACAGCCGCTGGTCAATTCCATTTGGTGGCAGCGTGGTAGCAGCAAAGAAAATTCCCAAACAGCTCCATGTGTATCCAGCTTTTGGAAAGGAAAGATTTAAAAAATCAATAAACAGGCTTTTTAAAAAATATATATTCAAGGGTTTTAGGGTTTCTTGTAACTGTTCTACCAAAACCAGTAACAACCAAACAAAAAACACACAGAAGTATGGCAGCAGTGTGAAAGCAGAAGTGACACGATGTCATTTTTCAAGAGGAAAATATGACCTCAAGACAAATTTGTCACCATCATAAATCATAATATAAAATAACCTTTTTCCTAAAGTGTTGAGCCACACAACTGCAGATACATTCCAACATGGGTTGTAAATGAGCGGGACAAGGACAGTCACAAAAAACCCCGCATATCTATGGGAGCCTGATCCTGGAACATGCCACAGGTGGTTAGAGCAAAGTTGCACCTGCTGGGAGATAGGCTCCTACAACTCACTCCCTGCCCTTGCTAACTCCCACCCCTCCACACACACATTAACAGGCCCTAGAAAATTGTCGTGTTCATCTTCTTAGAGTATCTAAGACAATAAAAGACTAAAAGATGTCAGAAATACATTGTGTAGAAAAATTAACTCTCAGCTTAAAATAACATTCAGAAAGGCACTTCATCCTGTAGGAAAGATTCTGAGTTGGGTCAGCTGCTCCGAGCTGGGACAGAAGGGAACAGGTTGTCTGCTTAGAAGGGAGGACAGTTCAAAGAAGTCTGATAAGATATCAAGCTTTCCCCCCCCTCCCCCCCTTTTTTTTGTTTTTGGTATGTTTTAAGAAAAGCAAATCCAGTAAAATGCATGTCCCTTTATGAAATTTGTTAAAAGAGTTCATTTTTAAAATAGTTGTTTCTGTTCTTAAAAACAAATCAGGTAGGCATGGCCACATTCTCTCTGTGGCCTGGAGCACAGAGTCTCCTCACTATCAGCTTGAGGGAGCTGACGTCAGGTACATCCCCTGAGGCCAGAGTTCCAGAGTGCACAGGCAGAGGCGGCCCAGGCCAGGGCTACCTAGTGCAGAGTCTGTGCAGCATGCTGTACACGTCGTCCTCACGACTCAGCCCCTCGAAGAAGGGGATGAGGTCCAGCAGCTCTGTGTCCGTCATGTCATCAAACCAGGACTGCACAGGCACCTGAAAGATAGTGCATGGAAGGGGCAGCAGAGCTGCACTCAAGGGATGAGATGTTCCTAACCTAATAGGGGCCTGGGGCTTTTATCATTTTCTTTGGAAAGAAGGACCAGTATCTAGTAATCCATCACCACCACCATCATTTTGTTTGTTCCTCTGTTCTAACCTAGGTCAATTCAAAGCTACATGATTTGGGAGACAAAGGGGGGTAGGGGAGTAAAGTATTTCCAGCCTATGTGCCTGTTTTGTTTTCCAGCCACAGAAACGATGGCCAGTGTGGAATATTACTTGTTTTTTTTTTTTGTGGAACCAGGGATTGAACTCAGGCCCTTATTCTACTGAGCTATCTCCCTGGCCCACTTGTCAGTTTCATAAAAACCCTCTCTCTATTGTACCATATCAGCTTCCTATACATCGGAGTACATTAATCCAGAGGTTACCTGGCAGACACATATACCACGAGCCCATGTGCGGGCACAGAGACTTCCTCTTAGGGGCACTTGCTACATGGCAAACAGAAGTGGAGAATTTCTTCCTGGGCTTAGCAGTCAGCAGGGAAAAAAGTAGAAGTATAAAGTTTCAGGGCATTCTGAAGCCACAATCAAAGCAGTATTTCCCCTTACATTTAGGCCAGAGTTGCACCCAGAGGTACAAACAAGAAATTTGAAAAGAAATTCAAGGAAATCAAAATGGTGTAAAAGTATTCTGAGGGCCGGTGAGATAGCTCAGCAGACTAAGCGCCTGCTTAGGCAAGTGAAGGGACTAGGATTTGATCCTCAGTACCACATGCTGCACCGGCCCCGTCCCCAGGCGTGCTGAGCCAGCCACTAAGACCAGGCATGGTAGCACACCTCAGTAATCCCAGAGCTGGAGAGACAGAAAACAAGAGGATCACCACAAGTCCGAGATATAGAGAGACCCTGTACCAAATACATTAAGACCCCTGTACCAAATAAATTAATTAAAAAAAAAATGTTCTGGCCCTAAATCTAAAGACAATTTAGAAACATAAAAATTCATCGTGTAACACCAAGGAAGCTATCTGAAGGGGATATCTGGCTCAAAGGTAAAAATGTAAGCAACTAAAAGAGTAATAAATGGATTGGATTGCAACAAGTCATGCATGAGCTCCTATTATATGGCACTAAAACTCATTAGATCCTTCTGGAGATTGCCAGTAGGTTAACTCATTAGTCTGAAATTGCAGACTGAAAGAAAAAGAACTAAGACTTTATAGCCTGCCTTTCTTTGCTAAATCTTTTTTTTCTTCGGTACCAGGAATCAAACTCAGGATTTCACATGTGCCAGTCAGGCACTGCCCCACTCAGACATTCAAATTATATTTTAGGATAAACAGTTAATGAAGGCAAGACTGATTAATCTGTCTGTCTGTCTGCCTATAAATTCTGGCCAACAAAGGCAGAAAGAATGATAGGATTTTAGGAATCACCATTTTGTAATTCCTAATGAAATGGCGGATATAAGCAATGATCACTAATATCTGCTATAATTATGAGGTGAAAAGTTATAGTGACAGGATCAGGCTACAAACAGCTCAAACCAGTGATCAACTTTAAATCTTTTAAAGTGAGGACAATCTGACATCACATGCTTCCTTATATAATTCCACAGGATGTATGCAATATCATAAGTAATTGGGCTATGTTTACTACTTGGGGTCCTGAGTTCAATCCCTGGTACCGAAACAAACAAACAAACAAAGTTAAACGGCAAAGAAGTTTAAAAGTGGGAAGAAAGAAAGAGATATTAGGATTACAAAAGAATCAAGAGATATTAACCAAAGCAATTTATGGACTTTCTTAAGATCCTAAATCAAACAATTCAAAAGTGAATGATGGGGACAATATGAACACAAGGTAGGTATTAGACAATATAAGAAACTCAGTTGTACTGGATGTGACAATAGAATTTAAAAATAATCCTTATCTATTAGAGACACACTGCCAAATGTATCATGTTGAGCTTGATTTACTCATTATAATGAACATATATAAATACATTTTGAGTATCTATTCAAATAATGAAGTCATACTAGTTAACTGAATCTAGTTTGAATTCATTTTCTTTCTTTAAATGGACTCAAGAAATGAACTTCTATAGGCTTTGATGAGTCTGAGAAGCCTGTGCCTAGGAGAACCTGAGCTGAGCCTGGTACGGCCACAACTGAGCAGTCAGTGGTCAAAGAGGGCTTGACCAATCTCTTTTCTCCTGGAAATGGGAGGATATCAATTTACTACTCTAAGAACTATACTGACTGGGTAGGTAGACATCGAGACACTACCATGCCCCAGGCAGTTTCATGTAGAAAATGTTTCCACTGTGTGTTGCTCAGACATCATTTTGAGGTGATAAAGTTGACAATCTTATCTGAAGACCTTACTTAAATGTTTTATTCTTGTTTAGGAAACATTTTTATTTTTTTTAATTTATTTTTTTATTTTTTGGTGGAGCCAGGGATTGAACTCAGGCCCTTGTGCTTGTTTGGCAATCACTTATTCTACTGAGCCATCTCCCCGGCCCCCAGGAAATATTTTTGTTGATGGAATCACACGCAAGTGAGTTAACAGGGAGCATGCAGTCCTGGGCAGCAGCTAGCTCTGATGAGTTAATAACAAACAACCCTTTTCCACAACAACACTGTGTGAGTAAAAAGACATGGGCATATTGAGTACTCACCACCTCTGGGCACTGTTCCAAGTGCTTCTTATCTACTGTCAGATTGAATGCTCTAACAATCTTTTGAGATGAGTATTCCTAGAGTTCCTACTTGACAAATGAGGCAACTGAGGTCCAGTGAAGTTAATTAAGTTGGCCAGTGTCATGTAGCTGCTATGTGGCCTCGTTGGGATTTTACCAGGAAAAGACTCAGAGACATTTTTATGTAGGCACCAGCCTGCATTGCAAGCAGCTCGGATGGAGTCCTGTCAGCTCTTTCTTTGAGACTACTTACTGCATTCTCAGGATGAAAGATGTACGAGGCAGGAGAATTGTCAACAATAATCACTTTGCTCAGCTCCCGTCCCAAGCGACTCAGGTCCTTGACATAGTTCCCACGATGAAAGACACAGGATTCTCTGAAGAGTCGAGCCCGGAAAACACCCCAGCGGTCAAGGAGGTCAGCCACAGGGTCTGCATACTGGACAGGTGACACAGTGAAGGTCAGGCACCTAACCTACTATGGCAAGAGCCAGACAACTTTTTCAAGAAGAGATTTAAATAACCACCAAGTGTTTCAGGATGCTGGTTATATTCCATGTACATAAGGAAGCACTAGTTTCTTCCATTTTCCTAACATCCAATCCATCAGAAATTTTTGTCAGTTTCATCTCCAAAAACATCCTGACTCCTTCAGCATCTACCTCTACTGCCCTGCACTAGGGCAGATCTCCAACCTACAGCCTGATAGGCTCTCTTTTGCTGCTGGGCCTCTTTCCCAATTCCTTTATCTTAAGGCTGTCTGAGTGGCCACAATCACATCACTCCCCTATTTAAAATTCTTTACCATCTACTCACTGTACTTGCACTGGACGCACTTACTCTGCCATGAACCTGAGGAATGATGAGGGGGTCATAATTCTGTCAGGGAGGCAGAGAGCACCTACAGAGGCACTGGGAAGGCCAGTAGTGGAATACAAACACAGCAGCCTAGTCCATGGGAAAGTCCTTTCCTTCCCAAGGGCATCCTGAGGGAGGCAGAGTCTTGCCACAGCTGTACCTCTACTGACCACGTAGGATGAGTACTTGGTCACTATTCTGGTGAGGCTAGCCAAGGGCCATGTGGGTAGGCTACAGGGGGTCCATTCTGGACAGGAAAAGATGGTTAATTTCCTCATAATCATAGATACTGGTGTTGGTGACACTCATCTTTCAGGGAAGTACTTGTGTTTCAGTACTCTGGCCAAAGACAAGAATGTGAAGAATGTGGGCCTCTGATATGCAGGGACTCTATCTCTCTTGTCCCCTGCTGAATTCCTAAGTCTAGTACCATTCTAAACAGTAGGTATTAAGTAAATACCTGCTTGGGTTTGGGTGATGAGATACAACAAGGGATCTGTCAGTGTTGGATTCCTGCAGTCTGAGGTTCTGAGTAGCAGGCAAGGAAGCCCACTTGTATCAGTGCTGCTGGCAGGGAACTGAGTTGAACCCAGATTCAAGAGCAGGAGTGACCACCCATGAGCAGGACATGGCATCAGGGAGGGAAGGGGTTGGGAGTCTGCGCTTTGGCTCTGACTGGGCTGAATCAGGCTGGTATAACAGTGAGAAGCAGGTTGCAGAGACAGATGGAGGGGCAGGTGGGAGCAGTCCAGGAAGAGAAACCCAACAAAGATGTTTAAGCGAATGCTGGGAATAATGCCAAGGAAATGTGTTTTCAATTTTGCCAAATCAACAATTCTCAGTCTACTGCCCTAGTGCCATCTTCCAGTTGGTTATTTCTTTGGTTATTATTTCAGATTCCTTAGCATTCCAAGGCACTATGAGAAGATTGATCAAAGCTGCAGCTATAATTCATCTTGGTACCCCAGAGTTAGAAGCCCCAACATACAAAGACTGCTGCATGATTCCTTGGAACAGGTCTAAACAAAGGAAGCTGCTTAACCTAAGCTCCATAAAACTCATTTTGGGGTTCATTCAAAAGTCCTGAGGTGTCCACGAAGATAACTGTGGTACCACCCATAAGTCAAAGCTGTTGGCCCCATGAGAGCCAGTATAGAGTCTGAGTAGAGAAGATATACACCCAAACATATCTGAATCATTTTATCGCTACTAATGTTTATGATACTAAATACTGAACATTAGGTGTATTTATTCTGACAATGCCCAGCATGATTACGTGGAACTTGGCTCAATGAATATCTACTGAGTAAGAGTGAGGTACTATGCTAAACTTTTTCCATGTGCTACTCCATTTAATCCAACTCCATGAGATGCAGGAATTACCCCCAGTTAAAGAAGAAACTGAGGTGCCAGAAGTAACTTACCTGAGATGGCACAGCAAGTCAGGGTAGAATCAGTACCCTCCCCAGCCTATGGCTATGGGAGACGCTTGACACATGTCTTTCACTTGTTCTTCCTACAAAACTGTGTAAGCTAAACCCAAAGAAACAGGAGTTTCTAGCATCTGATTATCATTAATGAGAGGGGTCTTGTGTGCTTACGGCAGTCATCCTTCTGTGGTTACACTGCACATCTTTGTGACTTCCTTGTCTGTGGATAGCTAACTTCAAAAGTCTCCATGTACAACAACTTCAAACATTTGTTCTAAGTGCTCCCTGTTACCCTGGTAACCAGAAGAAGCCTTTCAGACTGGCTGCGTGCACATGGCCTGCATCCATCCCATCTGGGGTAGGAACCTGTCACCATAAAAATAGATTCCCCCACCTTAACAAAGAGCTCTTGACAGATTGGGGGTAGTGTAGAGGGGCTGGGATTCCAGGCTTTGAGTCTGCAGCAGGGAGCAGGACGCACCTTAGCCAAGCTGGCAGTAAAGAGCACACACTCAAAGAGTTGTCCCATTCTCTGGAGGAATTCATCCACATGTGGCCGCTTCAGCACATACACCTGCAAGTGGCAGAAATAGCAAGCTGGTCAGGCATGGCAGCTGCTGGGATGCCTGGGCCTAAATGCCCACTGTAGGAAGAATTGCCGGAGAAGTCTGCCTTCTACTGCCAGGTCTGAGTGTGCTATGCAGAGGTCCAGACTGTATGGTCAGATACAGTATTCCTCCGATCATGCTCCAGGCCTGATTCAGTGCAGATGACACTCCCAAAGGACAAAGAAAAGCTGAAGGTGATGCTGAGGGTCTTGGGAATTTTGAGGGTCAGTGAGTAGAATAGTTGTGCCATGTTTGTATGAACCACTCATTCAATTGCATATGTGTTTCTTGGCATCTGGTATGGGTAAAACTATGGTCTGTACACTGTCCTTTTGGAGGTCTGGCCCTGGCTGACTTCCCAGCAGGTCTGGAATTGTTCCAGCTGCCACCTTCTGCTCTGAATGGTACTTCCTGTTCACCAGAAGGCCCAGGGTAAAAAAAAGCATAGGCCTTGCAAAGCTGCAAAACAGTCTTCCTTGTTAGCCAGGGAGACACCAGTACTTAATACCATGAAGGTTGCTCTACGAGGGCTGTGTCTGGACATTTCCGGGGATGTAAAACCTTCTGGGGCCTAGAAACAAGCCTGTGGAGTCTGTGAGCAGAGGAAACAGAGAGCCTCTCCTAGAATGGCTGGACTCTGTCTACCTTTTTGAGCAGGCTAAGTAAAGCCAGCAGAGCTATAAAACACTCAGATTTTAGCTAAAATGTGGGTTCCTGACTACAGAGCCTGAAGAAATCTGGAGACTGGCAGATGAAAAAGAAGGCAAAGCTGGTGAGAGAACAGAGGAAGTAGAAGGAAGTAGGAACCAATTAAAGCCTGAATAAATTCCATCTAAACTTAGTCACTTCACAAAAATAAATCACTCTTTAGAAATGAATTCAACATATTTACTGAGCTGCAGCTCTATGCACAGCCTGATACAGTTATATAGATGAGTCAAACACAGGCCTTGCCCTTGAAGGGCTCACAGTCTAGAGCAGACACATGCAAAAATGTGTAGAAGTGAACAAGGCATAATGAAAAAAGCATGAGGATAAATTGAAGATAATTAAATTCGCTTTCAAGGGGAGGAAATCACAGAAGGGAACAGTTGGCCTGGACATCAAAGTATGAGTAGGATTTTACCATGCCTATAAGGATAAAAAGAGGCAAATCTCTGAGAGCATAGTATCACATGAAACTTGGAGGCCTAAGAATACCTGACATGTTAGAAAATGGCCAGAGCCCAGCCATCTAGGCAGTAAAAGAAGTTGGGGAGGTGAGGGGTTGGAGAGGAAGTAGCTAAGGATGGTTGTGCACACTGCAATGAGCCTCAAATGGCCTCAAATGGCCCATGGAGCAGGTAGAATAGAGGGGTAATACTGGAGGAGGTCCATATCACATGGAAGGACAGGTTGCTAACAGAGGAATTCTACGTGGTAATACTTTCAATGAGTCAGAAATAGGCACTAAGAAGGATCAGAATTGGTGGGAAACTCATGACTAACCAAGAGTGGGGTGGGCATGAGTCTGAGCCTGAGGGTGGAGGGAGGAGCCAAGAGAATGGGATGGCCTAGAATGGGTGTCAACATGGTTGTAAGGAGGTGGGAAGTTGAGGTGGAGAGTGAAAGGCAGCACTTGTGTGTCTGCAGGGGCTCTCAGCTCCTGCCTTGCCCCTGAGACTTCTCAGTGCTAGTGATAGTAAATGGGTGTGGCCTGTGCTCCTATATCCCCAGGAGCACTATTTCAAAAGCACGCTCTGCTACATGGAAAGGACAAGAGACTGGGGAATTCTGGCGTTGGTGCCTCTGGCAGAGAGGAGGGTCCTTGGCCCAGATGCCGGCGTCCAGGCCCGCGTCCCCGTGCAAGTAACCAAGAATAGGCCCATTGGGACCTACACAGCCTATCCTGGATTACTTGAACGAGGCCACGGCCTTCGCCAGGGCCTTGCTCCTCCTGCTCTTGGCGCCTGTGGCTTTCTTCCACCAGGAGGGTTTGGATCCCAGCCCTGGGCCCTGAGGTGTTCAAGGGAATCAAAGCAGTTAGACGGAGTCTGGGAGAGTTGGGGTGGCTCCTAAAGGTGGGTTATGCTCCCAGCTATGTGGTTTGAAAGATTGTTCTCTTAATGCTTGCCATGCCATCGGGCAGCTCTCCTTTGTCTCCTCAAAAGCACTCTCTAGCATGAGTCAAGGTAATAAACACAGAAGCCTTAACTGGTTCACAGATGCTAACTTAATTTAGTTGATACTTTTGCCAATGTTAAATGCCCAGGTACTTGCAGTACTGGCTCTATGATGGCTTTTAAAAAGATGGGAGTATAGAGGTGCTATGGATAAAACTGCTTTTTCCAGGGACTGGCAGGATCCCCAGCAAACAGGGCAGAAAGCAGAGTAGGCAGGGGAAAGGCAGAGGACCTGAGTATCAGGGAAAGAGTCCTGGGCCAGAAGGCATTAGACTAGAATTTTCATCTCAATTCTTCCCATTGTATCACCCTAAGCCAACCCTTTCCCTGGCTAAGCTTCAATTTCTTTATCTGGGCAGTGAGGCGATTAGACCATCTGATGTCCAAGGCTGAGACAGTTGTAAGCTCAGCACTTGAGAGCCACTGACATTATTCAGGAAAGACATCTAACTGTGGCCCAAATATTACAAGAGGTTTTCCTTCTTAGGCTACAAAGGCAGATACTTTCTCTTTAAGACCTTGGAGTTGACAAGAAAATGGTGAGCTCATCCCTGCATAAAACCTGACAAAAGCTACTCCTCTAATCTCCAAGGCTAATTCCTACAATGTTTCCAATGTGTTCATAAATACAGCTATTTATGGAAGAGCTTCATGCAGATAAGGAAAAAAATCAGAAAGAACAAAGATGATGCACACCAGTTGACTGTGGTGTATTTATTTGTAGTAGTCTGCTGATCTAAAAGCTCATACCTCTTTTCCTTTTCCTTTGGGGGTTAAGTATTTGCTAAAAAATCACTGTAGAAAATCATGCAGTAATGGTAAGATTAGTCTGGAGCAGCTGGCATTAGAAATGCACACCTTTCCCCAAGAATCCACCATAAGAGAGGGACTTGTGGCATTTTCCTGCTGCCTGCTAGGAGAGCAGCTGAAAGCAATTATATAAGGAAGTTAATTAGACCACCAAGCTAAATCAGTTGGGAATACAGAAACTTTTAAAGAAAGCATCAAATCAAAGAACTATTTGAACTATTCTAATATTTATGAAAATACAGTTTAACTTATAAACTCAGTATAAAACAAATTCGTGAGTGGGGGGAAAAGAAAAATTGTATTTATTATATGCAATCTGCCTCTTTTTGACTGAATAAAATTATCATTGAAATGGGAATTCAGAAGTGAAGTTCACATGAAATATAATGATTAAAAATGCTCATTGCAGGCTGTGAATGGTGGCACATGCCTATAATCCCAGCACTTGGGAGGCTGAGGCAAGAGGATCACCATGAGTTCAAGGTCAGCCTGGGGTACATAGTGAGTTCAAAGCTAGCCTGATCTATATAGCAAGATCAAGCTAACAAGATTTGTCTCCAAACAAACAAACAAAATTCTCATTGCAATTCAAATTTTGCTTTGCTGGGGAGATAGTTCAGTGGCATAAGCATCTGCCTGGCAAGGACAAGGTCCTGTGTTCAATCCCTGGTACCAAAAAAAAATTTTTTTTTTTGCTTTGATTCCTTACCTGATGTATAGTCCCATCGATTTCAACCGGAACAATAAAATCAGCATTACTAATAGGCTAGAGAGAAAAGAAACTATAATTAATATATCTGAAAGAAAAAGGTAAAATTGGAAATCTTAGCAAGAAAAAGGCTTGCCTAGATCAATGTTTTGACAATTTGATAAAACAGTTCAGGAGAAGGAGGGTTGAAGCATGCCTGGGTTCTCTGAAAAAAGCACAAGCAGGAGAGCACATTCTTTTCTTTTCTGAATGTTGTGATGTTTGCAGCATCCTAGTCCAACCTCTTCATTACCTGCCTGGCCTCTACCACAAAAAGTGGCACAGCCTGGGAGCAAACAGCATGCCTCGGAAAATGTAACTCTTGCCCAGCATCCTGCTAGGACAAGAACCAATACTGGCTACCAGGGGAAGATGAGGGCGCAATGGCCATGAGCCAGTGCTACTGGGAAGACAACCAGAATGTGGATCCTCAGTGTGGATGACTAGGTAGAAGATACTGTGCAAACAGACCCACAGCGGGGCCAAATACACATGGAGAAGTTGGATGTCCCAGGATTCCACCTGGAGCAGGCTTTCTCTCTCTAGTCTTCAGTACCTCTCTTCCACAGTTATAGTAAGGGGTCTGATGAATTCCCAAACCTCTATCTAGTCCTGAAAATAAGTGATCTTAAGCTTTGACTGGTAGCCTGGTACCATCTCCTCCTGCCTTGAGGTTGCAGTGGGAGAGAAAACCAGCCCTCTCTTTATGCTACTCTAAGAAACACAATACCCAGCATATCCACAAGTTTTTAGAATGTGAAAACAATTCTTTCAAATACTAGTAACATTTAAAAATCAAATGACTCTTCATAGTCACCATGTTTTCTTTTTTTTTTACTTTTTTACTATATTTTCATAATAAATCTTACATGGAGGTCTAAATAGAATTCCACAAATTAGTAGAAAATCACTTAAATGAATAGGCTCAACAAAATAATCAGTCTGGAAATCTTCGGAACAAGAGGAAAGATGGAATGAAAAGGTATGTGTGGCAATCACTGGATAAGTACTCTTCTCGTGGGGTATGGAGTTTGGTCAGACTTTGAACTGTGATCTGTATTACTCTACATACAGACATTCTTCATTGATGTATAAGCTCAAAAATGTAGAAAATGCTAGGGTGTAAAGCCATTACTAAAAATTCAGCTGTAAGAATGCTACAGAGGCTTAAGATTATAATTTACTCAGGATTGGAAGACAAGGTTGGGCTCAATATTTTATAATTTTACAACAAAATTACAGAATCATGCTAAAGGAGAAAAAATAAAAAGAAGGAGGAAGGAAGAAATTCTCACAGGGCACTGAACTGTGAAATAATATTCTACAAAGTATACAACCACTTCCCAGTTTCTAGCAAGCACCATTCTTAACCTCACATGCTGCTATAAAAGAGGGCATGCTAAAGGCAGGGCTCTTAACCTTGGGTCCACAAGCCTGTATTTCATACAGTTGTACATGTTCACAGGAAGGGGTTCACAGCTTTCAGATTCTCGGAACACTCTGAAATGCCCAGAATATTAGAGATCATACACTACAAAATAATTACTTGCAAATGTAGGCAGGATAGGTAAAGGAAGAAATAAAGAAACACTTTACAGCTGTTGCACTGATAGTCTTTGAGCAGTCCCTGGAGACACAGTAGCTACCAAAGCTTAGCCTGTAGAGCAAGGATCCCTCAGTACCCGTGGGCAGTGTGGTCAGCATTACCTACACTCCCAGAGCTATTCGGGAGGATGGTCTTGATGGTGCAAGAGCAACTGATCCTTGTTCTAAATGGCTATGCCCCACAAGAACTAGAAAAAAGCCCAACTTGCCCCGGAGGAAAATGCTTCCAGTGCTGTCCAGTGATGGGCTGGCACACAAGGCCACTCTAGCCCCAGGACCAACAGTGGAAAGGCCAACCCAAGGAGTGCTGGGGAATGAAGAAGTCCCTGCATACCCCAGGACCAGAAGGCCATTTCTCACTGCTAGTGGTCAGTGTTATTCCTCCTTCATTTTCCAAAGGACTCAAAGACAACTTCCTGGCCTTGTCCTGTCAAAGAACGTCTCTGCTCAGTGAGAAGTAGGCACAAAGAAGGATGTTTCTGGCAGGAAGGTGTTCAGGCAAATTTGATGGGTCTTCTGCTGTCATACAACCTGCCAGGAATGACAAGGGTTCATATGAGACACATAGCCCATCACAGATGGTGCCTTTCATGTCTCTCAGAAGAGTAAAGGGAGTGCCAGGCTGAGGTACAGTATAGCTAGCCAGTAATAATAGAGCAGTTCCATCACCAGAAGTACTCAAGGAAAACAGGACCAGGATTTTAAATACTTGTTGCTTCTCCTCAACACAACAATATCTGATTTCTAAACTTTTTCATCACCTGCCTATTTTAAACTATTCCATTTAAAAAAATGATTATATCATCTTTTAATAGTGTAGCCATCATTGCTCTTGCATGGAGGCCCTCTGGTAATCTGTCATTCTAACTGGGGGAAATGGGCAGTGGACAAGGGAGAGGAAGGACTGAGGTTCTCTTTGACACCGCTGCAGCTTTGTCTTTCATTCAATACAGCACAGAAGCGGGCACTTACTTAGCTGTGAAACATTAAAAAAATTTCACATCAATCTCTTGTCATGAAAATAATCAGAATAAATGGCTGAATCTGCTCAGATGTGACCAACTCCAGGAGACTTCTTCAGAGTTGTACATCTTTTAAAAACTGATTTGGGAACATATCTGTGATAGCAAGGAGCCTGACAATTTCTACAAGTGCCCTCTCTGTCCCTCCCTATAAAACACAAGGTACTATGATTACCTTGACAAAAGTCATGGGACAAATGATTGTCTGGGCACCTAAAAAGTATTTCTAGAAAGTTTAGTGCTGAAAACGCAAACCTAGTAAGTAAAACCAGGTCTCAAATGATATTGGTGCCCTAGCACTTTCTTTTCCAAACTAAAATGTTAATAATCAACTTTTTTAGTTAATATCCACTTGGGTTAATAAACAGCTATTACTGGAATAACTTTATGAAGACTAAAGCCATACCAACAACCACAAGGTGTCATTCTCTCTCTCTCTCTTTTAAAACAGTCTTCCCATGTAGTTCAGGCTGACCTTGAGCTCACTACATAGCACAGGCTGCCCTCAAATTCAAGGTGATTCTTTTGCCTCCACCAATGGGATGCTGGGATTACAGGTGTGCACCACACACCTAGCTGATCTTATTCTTTTTCCTTTTCAATACAATTGTTATCAAATCACAAAGACCACAGAGTGCTCTTTATGTAGATTTACCTTAAATGAACTGTGCACCAGTGTTTCATCTAAATCAATGACCACACATTTCTTTCCATAGTCAAGCACCGTCACCTCTGGAAGGAGGTATTTAGCTGGTGGCTAAAGAGGAAAAAAGTATTATTACCTCTATGTAAGAGACAAACCAATTCCCTTAATCACTGTATTATGTTAATGAACATATAAATGAAAGCAAACATTTAATATCTGATAAAGTACATCATATAATTTTTATTAAGAACAATAGTAACATGTAGTTTCCAACTGAGGTTTTACCAGAGAAGTATTCTCTTTTCAATAGCTGGCTTCTTCATTTTTTATATTCCTTTAAATTGAATACTACTCAATGATCAAAGATCAATTTTGGACTTAAACTGATTCAATAGTGAACATAAACAGGCAGTGCGCAGTTAGGTAAATTTCCAAGTACAATCATCACCAAAGCAGAGAAGGGCTGTCCAGGAAGTGGCTACATGTAGGGAGCAATAGTCAAACTCTCAAGGGTCTCCCTCTACTTAGTGTGTGTGCTTCATTTTTTCTAATGCATTTCCAGAAGAAAAAAAACCTGAAGGCCTTCAAGTCCCTCAGCTTTAACTAAAGCTGGCCATGCAGTCCTCCCTGACCCTGCAGCACTGGCAAGGCAGAAGGATGTGCCTTAAAAACAATGCAATTTGGGGAGGTAGAAAAGTCTTTCATCAATAAACTAGTGAATCAGCAGCTCAGTTTTTATATAACAAAATAAGTCTGAAAGAAGTTGTATCAAAAAGTGTTTTAAAAGGTATAAACAGCAAGCAAGGGAACAAAATAGAGGACTGGGATTATTTCTAACTTTGGGTCACAGCTGAATATGACCAGCATAAAATTTTAAATTTTTACTAAATAACTATGTGAGAAAAATACATTTTCATAGTAAAAAATATAGGATGCAAGAATAAAAACACCAATTATTTCCTTTTCTATGTCCTTTCTTTTTAGTCTAGTTATACCTATGCAGTTCTTCCCCTTTGATTATGTATTAGTGAAATAACATTTTAATTTGGTAGTTTAATTACTCTAGAAATTTTATCCATAGCATACCTGCAATCCTCAAAAATAGGGCCAGAGTGGACTCAGTTATTTTTCAAGCCCTAGAATAAAAATTACTTTAACATATTTAAACCACACTTTGCATTCTTTTATTTAAAAGGGGAAAATATCCTCACATACAGAAGAGAAAAAAGACAGAGAAGAATGAGAATTCTGTTAGTTAATTTACTGATTTTTCATTGGTGCTACAGAGAACAAGACCAGGCCACAGGGCAATGGGCAAGAAAGGGTCTTTTAATTTCCTACTTGTTTCTCAAATACAGAGCTTCTCTGACAGATAATCTTTAGATTAATACAAATTCTTCAGTCTAAGTAAAAGTTCTGTTGGATAGTCATGTCCTGGGAAATGCAAGGATGCTAGAAAATTATACTAGTGCTTTATTATTCCAATTGATCTGTTCTGATGATGCTTGAATCATTAACTCAAAAATGTTCTCAATCAAATTTTCTGAGTCCATCATTAAAGCTCAAGAATAAGAGAAATATCATGATGATCTAGAAGTGCCTTTTAAAAATGTAAAATCACTTACTCAAATGTGCATAGGGAATTATAGGGAGTAGTGAAGCAGAAATCTTTGGCAGACGAGGGGAGAGGGGATAATGGTTTGCCACTAAAGAACTGAAAGTACAATATTCACTGTACTTTTCTTCCTAGGATCATCTGAAATTTTGTACCCCTGGCAGTACCATGGCAAATGTGAACAGTGAACACTGAAGTTACTTTCTGTGCAGCACTTGTCCTACTAACCCTCCTAAACCTTAAAGATTTAGTACTTCTCTTGGTACTAAATCTTTAATGATAATCTGGATGGCTGACTTCTTAGTTTAAGATTTCTCTGGATCAGGGTCTGTATACTGTGCCCCTGCAAGCCAGAGTTTAAGCAGAAACCTTAGAGCCTAAACATGGGAAATTCCAGACTTTTATTACAAGGCTTAAGCAAGTAGCACTGAAATTTAACTGTTAAAACTAATTCCTTTCTATTAGCACTTTAATGACTCAGCTACATCACCAACATTGAGTTTGTGAGCACCACTGTGATATGTGACTTCAATGAGTGTGTGAACAGCTTCCGTGGCATTTCTTATCCAATTATCAGCCTTTAAATGAACACACCTCAAACCACTAGCACTTCAATTTTGGGGGTGTCCAAATTCCTATCTTACCTGACTTTTGCCCAACAGCCCACAAACTTTCCTATGGAGGAAGATCCAAAATCCCAGCATATAGTCAGAAACAAGTGCTACTAACTGGAACTTTCATCAGTACATACAGAAAGATGTCATTTGCAATATTTATGTCAAAGAGGACTACTCAATAAATGGTGCTAGGGCAAATGAGTACCCACTTGAAAAAGAAAAAATGCTGGACTGCTACTTCATGGCTTCCATCAACTGCATTCCTTGATCAAAGATTTACATTTAATAATGAAAAAATATTAGAAGAAAATATGGGTCATGGTTGTAGAACAGGGAGATCTTTCTAAGCATAAAATCTAACAGCATAAAGCATGAAATTAATATATTAATATTAAAATTCAAATTTCATTGTGGCCAAAATAATTACAGGCAAAAAGACACGTAATAAACTGGGGAGAAAGCACTAATTTCCTTAACATTTTTTTTAAAGATAAATTATAAAATTTAGATGAAGAGGGCAGAAAGAAAAAGTGTGGTCAATGAATATGTGAAAAGTTGCAGATATTCATGAAAAAACATAACTTCAAAGCAATAAATCTATACTATTCTTTACATTTTGATAGCAAAGATTAAAACACTTGATAAATTCCTGAAGTGAGATAATGGGGAAATCTTGTAGGCTTTTCATGGGAATGTTAATTAAGCATAGGTCTTTAGAGGACAATTTGCCTTTGCTGTTCCAACAATGGAGAATAGATCCCTTGACCTAGCATTTCTACAATTAGGATCTGATCACACAGAACCATCACACAACTCTATATACACACAAGTATAACAACATTCTTTGTGTGTGTGTGTGTGTGTGTGTGTGTGTGTGTGTGTGTGTGTGTGGTACCAGGGCTTGAACTCAAGAGCTTGCACTTGCCTGGCAAGCGCTTATTCTATTGAACTACTGCCTCGGTCCCATAACAACATTCTTAAAAGCAGTATTTTGTTAACAGTGCACAAATAGAAACAAAGAAAATGCTGTCAAGGACATGTAAAACACGGTATACATACATGTAATAATATTTGGAAAGATGTTTAAGCCATCTTGTTAAAAGCAATTTGCAGAATGGTGAATATCACACAATTTCATTTGTGTCAATATGTTTGTGTTCGGAAATTTTTCTGAAAAGGTATAACATAATAAAAGTAGTTATTCTAAGTAGTAAGAATAAGTTGGAGGATTTTTTTTCTACTTTAGTATTTCAGCATTTTATTTTATTTTCTTATTTGGTACAGGGTCTCACTACGTAGCTTGGACTCCTAGTGATTCTCCTGTCTCAATCTCCCCAATGCTGGGATTACAGGTGTGCACCAACATACCTGGTTTCAGAGGCTGGCATGGCTTTTGGGGCCGGCACAACATGTGGTGGTACCAGGGATCAAACACCAGATCCTGGTGCTTGCCAGGCAGGAACTTATACCACTTAGCTATCTCGCCAGCCTAATTTTTCAGCATTTTAAAATAAACCATGAGCTTGAACTGTTTAAGGAAAGAGTTTAAAGATTAAGCCTATCTCTTTTGGTACCAAAAGAGTACCACATGGAAAAAAAATAGGGGGAGTGAGTGGCAGAGAGGGAGGACTTTGGTTGGAGCTGCTGTGGGTACCCACAGTTCAGAGGCATCTTCACCTTCAGGGCCAAGGAAAGGCTGGAGGACTTGATTTGGAGCTTCAACACCAGCCCAGAATTCTAGTCCAGTAATAGTACTCCAAGCTCTCAACTGTTTCACACACTGACCAGATCCTCCTCTGGCCCAAGGCCAGGATCATTCTGCTCATGTGACTTAGAAAACTGGCATATGGGTGCAGATTTCTGTGGGAATCTCAAGACTTGACTTCCAGGGCTGAGCTGGCTGCAAATGGACTTGGGTTCAGTCCTAAGCAGAGTGGAGATTACACTAAGCTTATGAGCAGAACTGCTTTTCTACAGATTATCATTCAAAGGTAAAAATTACTTTTGTAAAGTTCAGCTTTTTCATAGACAGTTCAAAGATTTGCATGTCCTCATTCAGTGTCTTACATGTAGGAGACAGAAGTTTATTAATCTAACACAAATATATTACACAATGAACCTTCTCCTTATCTACTTTATTCTGGAATTGTATACATGGCTAGGTCTCAATTTGTAGGAAAAGGGTCCATTTCCTTGGTGGGTTTATACTGATTGGCAAATGCTTTCATTTGGTACTTAACTTTTTGCATGGATATGAATTAACTGTGAGAAGAAACTGAAAATGCATGTGCAGCAATTTAAATGACCAAGGTTATCCAAGCAGCTGTTTGCTGTGCTAATAAATATCTGGGAGCTCATGACCACCACTATGAACATTTCTTGTAATTGTAGAGGTCAAAAGCAACTTGTATTAATCTCATGATATCTCAAAAAATTTAATATTAACACATTTATACAAGTTTTTCTTTCCCTGACACGTGTATACATTTTTGGGGGGTAAACTCTGCATATAAAATTATTCTGTACCAAAGACAAAACAAAGTCCTCTGATGTGAGCTTCAGTGGACACTTCCCTTACACACTGGTGAGATACTGCCTGCACTTCCTGACTGCTCTTTCTGTTCTAAGCCAGTTCCCTCAACACAGCACAGTCCCCAGATACACTGGAAGGATCACTACACAAACTCCTACAACCTACAAGTCAAGTAGGAGGGTCAAGTTTTGAGAAAAATAAAGTTCTCAAAACTTTTATGAGCTAGCTGTAAGTGCCATGCACTACTAAAGTCTTGAAACCTACTCCTTTCAATGTAGGATTGCTGTGTCTCTTGGATGTTCTAAAGTCCTAAGAAAGAAAAATGACCAGATTTGAGTGAGATAATTTGAATCGCCATCATTGTAGCCTAAAATATCAATTTACGGGCTTATTTGTAAACCTAAATCCTTCCCTAAAGACACAGGACTGTGTGAAAGGTCTTTTCTGATGGACATCTCCACTACCTAGTTCCCTAGGAATTAGGCCCCCAGCTGCTGCTGGCTGCATAGTTTCAAGCTTGATGGCTCTGCTGGCTGAGCAGATGGAAGAGAAATGCTACAGCTTACATCTAAGTACCCCCCAAGAGCCTCATGAACTCATACAGGGTTTTGCATGGTGACCATGTTCATTATAGAGCCATGGCGTAGAAAGATTTCTTTTCTTCCTTGGCTCCTCCTTTCCTCCTCTGCTTCCTTCCCATCATGTTCCTTGGCTAGTTCTGTCCTGGAGCCAGCAGACTAGGGACTCAAATGTGAGCCAAAATAAGCTTCTCATTGCAAGTGTCAAATATTTTGTTCTAGTGATGAGAAAAGTGACTAAAAGGAAACCGGAGACAGTGGACAGTAGATTGCTGGGAACACTGGTTCAACTTCTTTCTTCAATTTCAAGGCTGAAAACAGAAGTGGGGTGGTCCAGGGAATGTCTAGCAGATGCAACTGCAGAACCCATGGAGTGAAGCTGGTGGTACAATTTCAGGGAGGCTACTTAAAAGTAATTTCTCTGATGTCAGTGCTATAGCTAAGCTACTGATATCATTAAACAAGCAACTTAATCCACTATAACTGAATCTACTGCAAAGAACCATTGTTTGGGAAATCTATGGTGTTATACAGAGTTGGGGCAATGATGCTAAGGCAAGGCAGGAAAGCTCTACGTTACCTCAGTTTATTAAGACGTGGAGACCTTCCCCCAGAGAAAGAAAACTGTCTGTATACACAACTTCCAGCTCATAATGTAAAGTGTAGCTTCATTTTTGCTTTTAACAAAACAGAGCTATTGATATCATACAATAAAACTCAACATAAGCAAGAACATTTTTAAAAAAAATATTTTTCTTTTTTACATTACTAGGCCCAAAGCCACAAATTCTATGAATGTTTCAATAAAAATTTGAAATACATACACTTGGTATGGGAATAACCTGCCTCTGGTCACCCTGAGAAAAAGAAAAAAAAAAAAAAAAAAAAAAAAAAAAAAAAAAAAAAACATTGTCAGGTTTGAAAAGAAAGACATCATATACTTAAGAGAAACTTTCAAGTACTCTCCAGCACAGCAACCATGTGACTTCCCGTTCTTCCTACCTTAAGAGGAGTTTAATGAGAAGGAACCCAAGACCTTCCACAAGCTGGACCTAGACTCCTGCAGCCTCCTATTCTCCCCTTTCCCCAATAGCGCAGGTTGGGCTCCTGAGGCTCAGGTCTTAATCATTGATGTAGTACTTCCTTTACTAAATCTCAGGAATTTAATCCTTCATTTACAAATAACAAAAGCTCATATTTTACTTTGATTCTTGATTCTAATAATTGATTTGTTTCTTGTTTTAAGCAAGTATTTCCCTGAAAAGACTAAGTCAAGGGAGTCAAAGTCACGTGATCATAAGGAATACTCTTATCACCTCAGGTCCTCTTCTAGGGAAGTACAGAGAAGATGAGACAGGGCAAGGTACAAAAAGTTCCCTCCCTAGGCACAGGCATGGCAATGATTCTGAATACAGGAAAATAGAACCTGTATTCATGATGAGTATTAAGAAAATTCAGGCTACTGGGAAGTTTGGCTCCAAATTCCAGCCAATTTCTCATCTTCAAACACCAGCCAAATTGGCTGACAGAAATTTCATTTTTGTACCAATAAATGCTAATGAAAGAATAAATTTTACCAAGCATTTCCATTTTGTGAATTTTACCTTTTTCAAATGATCTGAATGGAAGACATACTGCTTCATACCTCAACATTAAAGGATTAGTGAAAAGAAGTGCCCACTGGTACTGGGGAAGATGACCACTGAGGAGTCTCACATGAAGGCCAGACTTGATGGTTGGCAATGGCAGATGGTTGATACTTGTCTGAGCTCTGCTCTGACTCTAAGAGCCTCTTACTATCTCTGTGTTTATATCTGGGCTCTAGTCACTGTCTCTTCCTTGTAACAGCAACCATTTATCTCCTCTTGAGATGATCTTTAGGCCCTTTACTCTGTCAGGAGACTTGGGACTCAAGCTGCCTTCTAACATTAGTCTGGGCAAAATTGTGTTCTTCCCTAATGGGAAGGCATAATCTAATCAAGTCCAAATTTCTAAGAATTTGAATAGAATTTCAGAAGGCCCTAAATAATGATATTCCCAACCTTTGGACCCAGGAACAGGTCACTCCTCTTGGTGGACAAGATTTTATCCAGAAGCCCCTAAGCATGGAGGACACTCTGGGTCGAATGAATGTGTTGAGTCTGTCCTGTATACTGCAGGAAGCTTAATAGCATCCTGAAACTCTACCTGCAGTAGGATCCCCTGCCAGCAATGACAACCAAGGTTCTAGGCACAGCCAAATATAAATCCAGAGGACAAATTCATCCCCAGTTGAGAAGCACTGCTTTAGTGACACTGCAGACAGTTCTTACATATGTGTACCTTCTGAACCATATTTCTTTTTTTTTTTTTTTTTTTTTTTAATTTTTTTGAGAGAGAGAGAGAGAGAAAG